TATATAAATAAATATACATGGATAATTATTATATGCTTTGATACTGATGTGATAACAATACTTTTAGCGTAAATAACCCAAACACTTTAAATATACCTCAGCTCACACAAAGGCAGACAACTGGACGCGAGCGTGCACCCGCATTAATAATTTTTATATATATATATATATATATATATATATATATATATATATATATATATATATATATATATTACAATAAACGTGCAATCAATTTACAAATACATGAATTATTCACACAAAACTAATGCAAAGGTTAATGGTTTAAATGGCGAGACATCCATCATCGCAAACAATTCAAATAGTACACAAAAACCTCCAGATCCGTTATGAATGAATTGATCCTTGTTTATATAAATTTCTGCCGTATTAGTTGTTATTTTACTACAAGCTTTCGTCTGTTCCTACAGACATCTTCAGGTATATAATAGATGTTGTTCTTGTTTTTTTTTTTCTCTTAGTAATAAGAGGACATCGAAAATATATGTGTTATTGTATCCGAAATGCTATTGAAAATGAGTTATTGGTTTTTGAACGCGCCAAAGCAACGCTGAGTTTGATTTTAAATTTTTTAAAGTGTTTGCGTTTATACCAAATATGGTGATGAACAATTTTTTACTGGTAAATTTTACTGTCAAAGTGGCATGAACTATATTGTTCAATAATTACAGTAATGTCGCACTTATTATCTAAAAGTCGCACATGGATCAGTTATTTAAATTACAATAAACGTGCAATCAATTTACAAATACATGAATTATTCACACAAAAGTAATGCAAAGGTTAATGGTTTAAATGGCGAGACATCCATCATCGCAAACAATTCAAATAGTACACAAATAGTACTCGAGATATTCTAAGGGATGAGCTCGGTTTGACGAAGGAGGAGTTTAGCTCTTTGGGGCCATGGGAGTCTGGTTGGCGGTGTTGTAATAGCGATAAGACTCACCTGACTGGTGTTGTAGAATGCCCTCTGGGACGGCAATAAGCTCTCTGTAGCGGGGCTGGCAGTAACGTCAGACTCCGTGCATTGCGGTGGGGCAGTTGAGTCCTTCTTCCACTCTAGCGTCGCACGGCCGTTGTTCGAACTAATTAAGTTTTACATGGTTCGCATAGTTCTTTGTCCTCGAGGCCAGTTCCGATTATAGCAATGTTGTGCCGCAGCTGAAGAGGAATGAACACTATGTGTTCTTGTTATTTGGCGGAAGCTACAGAAGGAGTTTCATGGAGCTGGGAAGTTTTCCTCTACTCAACTAATTTTGATCTTTAAGTACTAGCTTAATGTTAAAATTAGAGCGGAAAGGAGGTGACTCCCTTCATTAAAATTCGGCGAAAGCTGGTTGAGGGTTTCACATTTGGTTCGCTTGAGAGTGGCATCTGCGGGTGACATATGATTAAGGATATTGGTTGCCTGGATTAAACATTTGTCTATTAGTGGTAGGTTAGTGTAAGTCGTTTTTTTTTTTCCTTCTCTTTGTTCAAGTTACTGGGTTTTACTTAGCTAGGGTTTGGATGGTCGTTGAACTCTTTATTTTCTGCCCCATCCCCCCATTTTTTTCTTTTTTCTTTGCTTTATTCCCCTTCCCCACCCCATTTAGGTGACAGAGATTGCAGTTCTCTGGTTAAACTGTGGGATGTCTTTCGTTTTCGAGGTTGATATTTCGTAATTATTATTGTGTCTAATGTGTGCGTGCTAGTGAGAGTTTTTGTATAGCGGGTGAATAGAAATCATTTTATTAATCCTGCAATATATTTTCGCCATATTAACTCTTATCTCTGCCATGATTAGACCGTGGTGGATGCCTGTTACTAACACTAGTTTTGTTTAGTTGTGTTTATAATGTTTTACATCATGAACATTGGGGATATATACTTCAGGATTTTTATCAACCCAGCACTCCACAAAAACTGTACATATGGGAATTACGTAGGATTTCTTAGAGTGAATGTGGTATTTTGGTGTATGTGTATAGCAGTGTTCTATGGGATGGAATCTTTTCGTGAAAGGAACAATGTACGGTTGATTGGGTCAGTAAGTTAGCGATAAGATAGATGAACTACAGCAGCCCCCATCCCAATTCTGTCCATGTGGCTTATTTGTACAATAAATATTAATGATTTAACGATCAATCGTTACTCTACTTGGCGATTCTCTGACTTCGGGCGGAGAGGAACTCAGACAAGACTATGCTTACGGACAAAGCCTCGTCTGAGTAGGTAGACAACAACCCGGCTCCGTGTATGATGAGGTCTACGGGGAATTTTTGCCCGAGCATACGCCCTCGAAGAACCCTCGTTAAAAACCGGTCTTGTGCCACATCCCACCTTGTATCGGGTAAATACCGAGTAATTGACAATTAACTCTTTATTACCTTAGTCTGTGTTTTCAACCTTGCACCATATTATTCTCCGGAATAAACTACTTCTTAATTTTTATGTGTGTATCAACCTTTCCTATTTACGACACAACATTGCCTTTTCACATTACAAAAACGAAAGGTTTCAAAGAGTTATGCTATTAGAAAGAGTGAACACTTCGCCGTGGTGTAAATGATGAAAAAGCTTGTCTCAACTTAGTTGTGAGTTTGACCTTCACTAAATACGGCTTCATGATTTCGACCTTGTGTCACAAGTAAGCCATGTTTACTAAGAGGGCACTTAGACGTGGTATAAGAGTTAGCAAGCTTGTCTTTCTAGTTCAGTTACGATTGGAAAGTGTGTTCGAACCTCACTGCGTGCTCTATACTTTCGGCCTTGTGCCACAGCTATGAATTTAGAAAGAGTTATAACAGTGGGCTTGAGAAGTCTAATTTCATGAAAAAAACTGTTTTAATTGTATATCCAAAACTTAGACAATGGCAAAGACAAAGGCAATCCATGTCTATCAGAACACTACCACGCCCACAAGATATTCTGACAAATCGATGACCATTCTCTTCAAGCATCTGCATTCTGTAACACAAGTTTAAAAGTATTAAACAATTAAAAACAAAAGACGTCTAAGATATTTCTAAGATTTGATCTCGATAATGGCCGCATGTATAATCAAAAGCTCTACATTTCAAACAATGGGAAAATATTTATATCTGTTGCATCCAGACATAGTTTCACTTAAGACTTTCATTGTGTGAAAGGACGGCTTAGAAAATTTAATACTCACAGGATATATTGAGGGAAGAATAAGTGATAGAGAAACATCGAGCTATTTACTTGTGAATGGTTTGGTTTTGTTTAGTTTTTGTTTTACGGTATATCAACCTCAATGAATCATTTTATGCCGACAACTTTTTTTTTCCTGATAATATTTTTGATTTGTCAAAAATCTATTTCTGGTAATATTTTTCTTCCTCATAATTGTATAGCTAGTAATATTTTTTTCAAAAACCTATTTCTGGTATTATTTCTTTTTTCAAAAACCTATTTCTGGTAATATTTTTTTACAGAGTATTTCTGGTATTAAAACCTATTTTTACACTTTCATAATGCTTTTTACCTCAGTTTCGGAGTTAACTATTTGCCCATAACTGGGACCCTAACAGGTGCTACCACCAAGGGTCATAGTGGACCTGGGAACACCAGCAATTAAGAGGTGGTTGCACGCTCCTCAAAGCCTCCTGATCAGAGGCCTTGCTGATGGACATAGATTATCGTCTTAAACTGGATGTGGATGTAGTTTATCGTCATACCCATGACGAACCTGTGAATGGATGTCGAATTAGGGACAAAAAGACAGGAAGTCGTGGAGAGCTATAAATGACGATTATTAATGAAGAACTTCGGTTAAAACACGCAAAAAACAAAGACACATATATCTCTGCTAAGTGTTACAAAACATAGAACGTGGTGGGAAGCCATGATTGTCCATGACCTGAAGGGAAACTAAATAGAGAAGAGGAAATCTGTGCTAATTTAACGTAATACATCATCTATTTTTCGCATTTGACCCACATTTCTGTAACATTTATTCATCTTCCCTTGTCACCTCGACGCTATAAATCACCCGTGTTTGGTTCGCTCCATACCTTCATTCCACCTCAATATATTTCCTCCCCCAAATCATTTACTTTTCCCGCCTTTCATTCCTGGCACCTTCTCTTGTTCGCTATTTTCTCACTCGCGTGAACTTTTTTTGGCGTCTCTTTCTGTGATGGGTCAGATCCCAGAGAACAAACCAAATACTGACCTTTCCCGGGCAGTCGCCGTATAGGATTACCCGTGACCAATGATAGACTAGCCGAGAAGGGAGCCGCCCTGATAGATTATCCTCCCATGGGATGTAGACGACGTTTATGGGTCAAGCTGAAAACATTAAATCGAAGTGAAATTGTAAACCGGGCTATAATTGGTGTGTGAGTTATGGATTATTTTGGCAGAAGAAAGATAACAAAATCTTAAAAATATAGAAAGAATTCCAACAAAATGGTGTCAGATAAAATCTACAAAGAAACATATCTGTTCGTATCTAGCTCAGCCTAAAGTTATCAATCTCAGTATGCTGCATGCATGCATGCATCTATCTATCTATCTATCTATCTATCTATCTATCTATCTATCTATCTATTCATATCTATCTAAGCATAAGAAACATATCTGTTCGAATCTAGCTCAGCCTAAAGTCATCAATCTCAATATGATGCATCTATCTATCTATCTATATTTATCTATCTATCTATCTATCTATCTATCTTAAACAATAGCACAATTATCCTGTTCATTGATATCTCAATATATATATATATATATATATATATATATATATATATATATATATATATATATATATATATATATATATATATATTACATAATAAATCTATCTCAGAGTGTGTGGATGTATGTATATATGTAGATAGGCAGTTTACATATCTACCTGTCTATTTTTCAAACTCTTCCATTTAACTTCCTATTCATATATCCTGTATATATATATATATATATATATATATATATATATATCACTGTCATCTACCTCAAACAGTATGTATGCATGCTTGCATTTATCCTCAGTATCTCAGTCTATCATTATCAAGTTCAGTTTATCTATCTATCTATCTATCTATCTATCTATCTATCTATCTATCTATCTGTCTAATAATACTGCTTGTTCATACGAATGGACTTAAAATTTAGATAGAGGATCAAATAAATAAAATCTTTAATCAGACCAGTTGACCCGAGGCCAACCTACGAGAATTTATTCTTTTACGCGCCAGTACACAAGCGATCGGTCTTAGTAACAGAAAAATAGATAGAGACCTCGGAGTAATTATTTCAGCAGACACACACGTAGTTATTGACTAAGCGAAGCTTAGTTTTGGCACAAACCCCACAGTTATGACTTACCCATCACGGCTCGAACCCACTGCTCTCTAGTAATTATATTCGAGACCAGCTTACTAATCATTGCTCAAAAACCAGACGGTAAATTCTATGCTTTGCCTGGAATAAGACCTAGGCTTTGGGTACACAGTGAGTATAGAAATCAGTGTAAATTTTGTTGGAAAACAAGTTCGTAGCGATTTTTAATAGGTGGTGTTTGAATACGTGATTTCGTTTCACACGTGACTGAAATTTATGTTATATATACATTGACATACACACACACATACGCACGCGCGAGCGCGCGCACACACACATGTGTGTAAAAGATATATAGAAAATAGGAAAGAACTCGTTAAGTAAATAATCCAAAGTTCTGTAGTATTTTTGTTATTATTTTAAAAAAAATAGTGCTCGATACAAAAGTAGAGCATAAATATAATTATTTATTTAAAAATATGATTCCATCGCTACATAAGAGTTCTCATATTTCAAAACAAGAGCCGAAAACTTCAATATAATTATTTGAATTGAATTAAAGTACCAAGCTCTGTTCCATCTTCAAGCGATTTTTTTTTCTTTTGAATAACTAATTCCTGAAATTTACTCGTTTTATAAGCATATTCATTATTAAAATTAAAATTACTATGGTAAAGGCTAGAGTAATTATTTAAAGAAAAGCGGTGTAAGGGTTAATAATTTGTATCAATATCTCAGTTACATTCAAAGAGGTCAGGTCACGGTAAGGTTGGGGAGTCTAAATTTAAAGCGGAAGATGACATCGTCTAGTCTGGTTAATTTATTTTTTTTTATTTTATTTTTTATTTTTTTCTGAAAGTGTTTTGTGTATATAAAAAAAAAACTGTCATAATTCGCTAACATTTGTTTGTTTTTTTTTATGACTTCATAAAGGGTTATCTTTTTCTTTTTTTTATTGGGTAGGGCATTTAAACTTTTTATTTATTTCAGGAACCGACCGGGTTTCTCTTTGCTCAGAGGCAGAGAGTTCGACCGTCAAGCCGAAACGGCTCGACTCGATTCGATATTTACTTGCCCCCCCCCACACACACAAGGGAAAGATGTGGCACAAGGCCGAGTTTTACGGAGGTTTTCCGAGCCAAAAAAAATCCTGTAGACACTATAAAAACAGAATCGGTTTGGTCAACCTACCCGAACGGTACTATGCCTTTCGGCGGAGCCTCATCTGGGTTCAGCTCTGCTCAGAGGCAGAGAGTACGATCGTCAAGCCGAGAAACGCGGCTCGATTCGATAGTGTTAGGAAGAGTTAATTCTGTAGTTATAGGTAAGGACCCATGACAGGGTGTAGATCCCACCATGCTTAAAATCTAGGGTTTTAGTTAATATCAAAGCAGTAGCACCATGCATTAAATCTGCCTCTACCGTGGCTCGAAAGAGTCTCTGTTTGATGTTGTCTGGTAGAACAGATTACATCCATTTTATTCAAGTTTAACCAGGCTTTAGCTATGCGAATTTTCATATACTTTTCAGTAGAATTTATGTCGTTTCCTAGTTGAAACAGTAGCTGCGATAATGATGCTATATAAAATATCAAAATCTCCAGACGAAGACACTAATTTCTTTGGCATCAAAGCATGGGTCTGTAAGGTCGACGCCCTTGCAGCTTTACTGTTGGGAACTTCACTCGACAAATATCATCTTGATTGTGACACTCAAGTCGATGCAAAACATCTGACCAGTATTGACTATGCAGATACCCTAGCTATCATTACAGACACAATTACCAATGCCACAGTTCTCCTACATCATCTAGAAAATGCTGCTAACGATGTTGGACTCTACCTAAAATTAAATTCATGAGCTTCAACTAGAAAGGCTCAATACAAACTGTCTTGGAAACCAAGATGAGTCACCGTTAAACAGTTTCAAATCCACTCTGCGTCTAGAAAGGAAAACTATACAGTGTATCTGGCAGGATCATTAAACAGACATGAATTGTTCCCAGTAAACTGATTAAAAGTAGTCGATAGAAAGCTTCCGGATATCGCCAGTCGGAAAGTTAACGCCAGAAAGCAAGTCTCTTTGCTGACCGGGGAGAAATTTGCATTTCGTTGAAATATTTTACTATTCACGTAAAACATATCTGGTAATGCATCTTCAGATTACCGTTTTTTTTAAGATCTCTACCCAGTTCTTTTAATACGAAGAACTTCAACTCGCTGGAAGCCTGTAGAAATCACTTAGATCCATCTATCACACAGGAACATGACATGATATGCAAGGACAACATGGTGAAATATTGTGAAATGAAATATGTGGTTGAATAAATATACATACTGTCTTTGATATTCACTGAAATATAAGAACTTTTGCCCGGACCAAATATATGTCAGACATTGGATCGAAAATAAAGAGTTAAAATAAATGGGACTTGTAGTTGATTTCTATTTTCGATTCGAACACTTTTTAACGGTTGTGGTATGACATTCATAGAATTTGCAACGAAAATAAACTGAAGTTAACGTGAAAGAAATATGATTCCAATTTGGTTCGTATAACAGAATTCTTCCTTCGTGTTCTGTTTTTCGGTAACAGAATTATAATTTATTAATGAACATTTTCCAGGTGGATATGCACTACTAGGCAGCAGTAAATGTTTTTTAAGACAAGCTTTATTTGATGCAAAGTCAAGTCACAATCGAGCTCATTAATTAATTACCAACAAGATCATCTTGTCATTTCTAAAGAGTTAATGTATTTATTTTCAATCCGACATTTTTATTGCATGAAAAGTTAATATAGCGGGCACTTGTATTAGAAGTAGACGATCATCAATTGTTTAGAAATTGCTTTGTTTGCATTTCGGATACGAAACTGAGGAGATATGGGATTTTGAGAAAATTTATACGAGTGACGATGTGCTTTAATTAAAAAGGGAAATTAAAGCCTTGCTTAAATGTGAAGTTCATCGTGGCCGAGTGGTAAAGAAGGCCGAATAAAACGGTGGTTTCGACTAGAATGGAGGAGGAAGGATTTTCTATCTCTGCCGAAGTACACATATTCTTTAAGATTTCTTGAATGCGCAAAGAGGCCAATAGATAAATACACAACTTAAAATAAAAATGGGGCGTCTATTTCAAATAGGAGAATAGTTCCATATCGAGAATAGTTGCCAAGCATTCATTTTTGACTTTCTAAAAACAATTTCTTATTCCTTAATATTCTGCTTAGTTTCTTTATTTGTTAGGTATAGCTAGCACAATTTTATGAAGATGCAGTTCATTCGAGAGTCGGTGGTCATTACACCTTCTCCAAGAGTATAAAGGCTTCCATGTAGAGTAGAAGAAACAGACCTCAAATCCTGCTGTAAGATTGTTGTCCTACTACGGCTATAGGATAGAATCTATCCTACTATTTCTCTCAAAGGTAGTTGGGTGTTGTAGAGAATAAAACGGGATTAATGCGAAATAAAGACCACCATCTGAGTCTGAGAATGAGCCCAACGTATCGATTTCTTCTTTGACACCATTATTCTTTACACCAGTAACAATTCACTTAACTTACTCTGGCCATAGGATAAGTGAGGCACCCATGATGGTCGGTCTCACTACACTACATAAAAATGCTAGATACTCTTACCCAGAATGTCATAAAATTATATACGCGCATTGATATATAAATATCTGTGTAAATTAATTGTGAAAATATTATCTTTGTTGAGAATTTTTAACGTGGGCTAAGATGCAGGCATCCAACACATGTATTCTATGAGTCCAGCATGTTTTCCCAATTTAGCCGCTATGTTTGCTGAGATGCAATATTGGAGATAATAGCCGAAAAAGCCAAAGTGACGGTACAAATGGAATTTGTTCTAAGCGTAATATAATCAAATTAATACGTTTGGCTAGAACCATGCGCTAAGCTATATATATATATATATATTTAATTAATTTATCGAGTCCGATAGAAACCTCAACAGAATGTAGCATTAGAAGACGGTTCAAGCGATGATAAGCACAGATAGTAATTAGTAGGAGGATTTGATGATTATATTTAATTAATTCATCGGGCCTAGAAGAAACCTCCACAGAATGCAGAAAGCACTGGACGGCCGTTTCGTCCTATATTTGGGACTCATCAGCAGTGCGCATCCACTACCGAGAATTGAAACCCTGACAGTTAGGTCGTCAAGCGAACATCATACCAACTGTTCCAAGTGGGCCTCGGTGACGAAGAGATTCCAAATCAGACTCCAGTTGGTAGCGGCTTGGTGAGAGTAGTCGTGGCTCCAGGGGGCACAGTCCTATGGTTACAGAGAACTCAGCTGAGTTCCGCCACGGAATATGTGAGCGAGCGGCGCTATATTGAGTTTGATTTGGAATCTCTTCGTCAACGAGGCCCATTTGGAACAGTTGGTATGATGTTCGCTTGACGACCTAACTGTCAGGGTTTCAATTCTCGGTAGTGGATGCGCACTGCTGATGAGTCCCAAATATAGGACGAAACCGCCGTCCAGTGCTTTCTGTTGAGGTTTCTATCAGACTCGATGAATTAATTAAATATAATCATCAAATCCTCCTACTAATTACTATATATATATATATATATATATATATATATATATATATAATAAGTAATTCATCGACTCTAGAAGAAACCTCAACAGAATTTCGTCTTATATTTTGATTCATCAGCTGTGCGCATCCACTACCGAGAATTGAGGCAAACTTCATACCAGCTGTACCACTGGACTGCCGTTTTGTCCTATATTTGGGACTCATCAGCAGTGCGCATACACTACCGAGAATTGAAACCCAGACAGTTACGTTATCAGGTAAACGTCATACCAAATGTACCAACGGGCCTCAGTGACGAAGAGCTAACGAATTAGACTCGATATAGCACCGCTCGATCAGATATTCCGTGGTCATTACCTTACCGATAGGACTGTGTCACTGTGGCGCTATATCAAGTCTAATTCGTTACCTCTTCATCACCGAGGCCCGTTGGTATATTTGATATGACGTTTACCTGATAACGTAACTGTCTGGGTTTCAATTCTCGGTAGTGGATGCGCACTGCTGATGAGTCCCAAATATAGGATGAAACGGCCGTTCAGTGCTTTAAAATGAGAAGCAAGTAAAGAGAAGGGATTTCCATAAGGGGAAGTGCAAGAAACGAAGCTGTTGGAGTAGAAGTGGCAGTTGCATTTAAATATTTCAAAAGTAAAAGGGTGGGACTGAGATGCCAATCTAATAGTACGCTTAAATTCAAGTAGTCGGTCACCAGGGAAAGAAGCTCGTCAGCGCAGTTGCCATGAAAATGTTTCTAGAAAAGACAAAGGAAACCATGTCACGTCTGTGAGAAAGTGACTGAAGTCGACAATCAGTTGAAAAGGTAAGGCTAAGAAGGTGCACTGTCTGTGTCAACTCCTGCTAATGGCGGGCAGGAAAGTTTCTCTGCGGTGGTATTTTTCTTTCTTTCTTTCTTTGCATTTATCAGAGCTCTTTTTCCCTCATTCTTTCCCGCCTTTTCTCTCCGTTCCCTTCCTTCATTCTTGATGTTATTCTTTCTTTCTTTCTTTCTTTCTTTTCTCAGAGCTCGGCTTCCCTCATTCTTTCCTGCCTTTTCTTTCCGTTCCGTTCCTTCTTTCTTGATGTTATTCTTTCTTTCTTTCTTTCTTTCTTTCTTTCTTTCTTTCTTTCTTTGCATTTATCAGAGCTCTTTTTCCCTCATTCTTTCCCGCCTTTTCTCTCCGTTTCCTTCCTTCATTCTTGATGTTATTCTTTCTTTCTTTCTTTCTTTCTTTCTTTCTTTCTTTTCTCAGAGCTCTTTTTCCCTCATTCTTTCCCGCCTTTTCTCTCCGTTTCCTTCCTTCTTTCTTGATGTTATTCTTTCTTTCTTTCTTTCTTTCTTTCTTTCTTTCTTTCTTTCTTTTTTCTTTCTTTCTTTCTTTCTTTCTTTCTTTTCTCAGAGCTCTTTTTCCCTCATTCTTTTTCTTTTCCCGCCTTTTTTTTCTCTCATTCTTTCCTTCCTTTTTCTTTTTCTTGATGTTATTCTTTCTTTCTTTCTTTTCTTTCTTTTTTCTTTCTTTCTTTCTTTTCTCAGAGCTCTTTTTTCCCTCATTCTTTCCCCGCCCTTTTCTCTCCGTTTCCTTCCTTCTTTCTTGATGTTATTCTTTCTTTCTTTTCTTTCTTTCTTTCTTTCTTTCTTTCTTTCTTTCTCAGAGCTCAGAGCTCTTTTTTCCCTCATTCTTTCCCGCCTTTTCTCTCCGTTTCCTTCCTTCTTTTCTTGATGTTATTCTTTCTTTCTTTCTTTCTTTCTTTCTTTTTTTCTTTTTTCTCAGAGCTCTTTTTCCCTCATTCTTTCCCCTTTTCTCTCGTTTCCTTCCTTCTTTCTTGATGTTATTCTTTTTCTTTCTTTCTTTCTTTTTCTTTCTTTCTTTCTTTCTTTCTTTTTTTCTTTCTTTCTTTTCTCAGAGCTCTTTTTCCCTCATTTTTTCCCGCCTTTTCTCTCCGTTTCCTTCCTTCTTTCTTGATGTTATTCTTTCTTTCTTTCTGATGGGTGACTATTAGCGAATACTAAGTGCTGTAAGCTTGGATGGGCAGTTGGTGTGATGGATAAAGGCTCCAAATGTGAAATCGGAGAAGCGAGTTCGAATTCCAGTCGGATTCGTTATGTTCTCTTACGTGCGAATCCCTTTGTGAAACGTATCAATCCATCTTGTCTCCTCCCAGTTATGGGTTAATTTGGGTTTGTAGATCATTATTTTCATCAAAAAATTCTTACAATCCAAATATATGTTTTGGACTAACAAACCGTAAAAAGGTTGATAAGTCGTAAAAAAAAATCAATCATTCTTAATTTCTTTTTGTCTTTCTTTCGCGTGGTTCCTCATTCCTTAAATCTACTTTCTTGTGTTCCTTCTTTCTAAATGTTCTTTTCCTTTCCTTTCCTTTTCTTTCATATTTTTACAGTTATTATAGATCCGTTTTTCTCATTTTTCCTACATTTCTATCCACTATTCTTTCTTTCTTTTTTAATTATTCAAGTTGTCATTCCCTTTTACTGTCTAATTATTGCTCTTGTCAAAGATGTCTCCCTTTACGTTTTTCGATGTCTTCAACATAGGAAATCATTTTTCTCTCATTTTCATTTTTGTTAGTGTTTTTAATCCCTCTTGTATTGCAAGTGTTTTTTCTTCTTTTTTGCCGCGTCCCTCACTTTGCTGTTGTCACGTGTGGTGTTGAATCCTAAAAGAATGCCCCACTGCCAGTTGCCGTCAGAAGCCATTCTAATCAAATCAGTCAGAAGTTATTAGCTTTTCGCAACATCAAAGACTAACATGAAGCCGTTGTTCACCTTGGAACTGAAAGACGGCTTATTCTTACGATTAAAAACAAAGAAATAGAAAATAGTTCCGAAAAGCATGCAGCTGGTATCGGAGTAAGTAGAGAAAACAATATTTATGAAAGAATGTAAGGAAGAATTGAAAGAAATAATATTTGAATAAAAATGTTTTTTTCCCGTCAAAAACTCAATTACACAGGTTTTATCAATATTTTATTGAGCATAGTTTGACACAAGAAATACGAGAAATAATGTTGGGTACGAATTCACTAATTAACAATAATAGTCAAACATTACTTCACTAACAAATTATTTACGAAACTAACTTAAGCACTAACAAATTATTTACGAAGCGGTTTCTTTACACAACGCCATATATATTAGACATTCAGTGAGAAGGGAAAATAGACTAATTGCTATTTACGGAATTTTCCTTGACACAAAGCTACAAGTATGATACACTCAGCAAGGTTCAAACTCCCTACTCAGGAATAATGTTCAGGTACAAGCTCTTCAACCATTACCACACAAGCTCTTCAACCATTACCCATATATTATTTTCGGAAATTAGTTTACTACAATGTTACCAATAATAAAGCACACACCGAGGCTCGAACTCACTATTTAAGTAGTTATGTTCACCCAAACTAGTTCGTTAACCATTAACACAAACTCAAATGTTATTTATGAAGCTTAGTTGGGTGTAAGGCCACATGTATAAGGCACCTAGTGAGGATCGTGCTCATTACACAATAGAAATGATAAACCGCTCTAGCTAGTTAAACGTGACTCTGCATTGAATCCTAGTAGGAAACATAATAAGGAGAGTAGGCTTGCAGAATTTGACACTCACAGGATATAATGAAGTCAGAAAAAAATCGAGAGTAATCTAGCTAAAGAGTTTTTAATTGATTAGCAGAACAGGGATTGGATATGATAGTAAAAAGAGAAGTACTGCTTAGATCTAAAGCAGATCTAAATGATAGGAAGTTGTGCAGAGCCATAATCGCTTTCAAGGGACACGACACATAGTAGAAGAATTTAACGTAAGGCCACATTATTATTACCACTGCAATGAGGTGAGCAAAATTTTCGCTTAGTTACTGATTTTCTTGTAAAAAATAACAACTTGTTTTTACCTTCATTTATACATATGATTTCCAAACTGGAAGGAAAATTTAAATTAAATCATATTAAATAATAATCTTGCTGCCTTCTGGAAATAAATTCGTCGCTTCAATGTTTATTTCATGAAAGATATTCTTACAAATGTTTACTAAGTCTTGTATAAAAATAATGATGTAAGGTAATCGGTGATGATAGAACTCAGTGCAACTAATCATGATTTGACTGCAAGCTTTCCTTAGATATTTATGAAGTGTACCAACATTTTTTGCACAAAACCAAAATATCTGAGGCAGCTGGCGAATTCGTTACTCTTGTAATCAATTTCTGACACTAAATTATTTATTGTCCATATATTGCCAAAAATGTGTTAAGCATTTTTAATTGCACCATAATTTCAAGAGGCGAGAATTATCTTGAAAATCAGCATTCAAAATCCTGAATTATTAACTGGGCATGAACACCGCCAACTAAAAATAGTAGTACGCTACTGCGGCTTTGTAAAACAAGCTCCTTTGTGGGTGCTTTCTCAAACGCTACAATCTTAATCTCCTCAACTCACGGAGATAATCGCTATCTATCCTCCATATCGACATATTCCTCATTCCTACATATGCATCACACACTTTCTTTAGTATCCATCTACCTTGAGTGACTCTTTAGCCTTGTATCGGTTGAACATTATTAAAAGAAATAGTCAATCGACGAAATTTGTTATTAAAATTATGTTTAGCAGAACGTATATACAATTTGGAGGAATATGTATGTTAGTATTGTGTTTTGCCAATTCTTGGGAAGAGAAGAGTCGTCTGTGGTAAAAATTGACATTCGAGTTGCCAACATTTTTTCTTGGCTGCAATACCAATCTCTGTAAGAAGTACAGACTATACACAATAGGCAGTATTTAGTAAGCTTACACGTGGGCAAATTATTTGTTATTTCTTTATTTAACAGGTACTACATTCTTTGATACATTATTATCGAGCAAAACAGAAGAGTCCTTATAAGCATAAATTTCTAGCAAGATTCTTGAACATTCATATCATTCTTTATCCTAACGTAAACAAAATAATTTCGAAAGAAGTAATCGATTTTTTATGTATTAATCCCAGATATTTTTTCACTTTAAACGTTTCTCTTAGCAGACAACCGTATTTGAGTAAACGAGTTGTAGAACTGAAAAAAGAAAAAGAAAAAGTGGAACGATTCAGGTTTAATCGATCGGCAAGACTCTTCGTAGCCGAGTTGGTATGAGCTATATATTACTATATAAGATTGGTGACCTTCACATAATTCAATTCTTTCTGTCTTGTATTGTTGGAGAAAAATATATTTAGCCATATAGAAAAAAATTCCCAGAAGTATTTGGAGAAAATTATAAACCGCATACATATATGCAACAACTGTTTTTGCGAATTAACATATTTAATAAACGACTATGCACCTTTCTTTCTTAGTTCATCGCTCTATCCGTGAATTATATCAAACAGAAACACAAAATTACCCACTTATTCGATTGTTTGATGTAGAGACAAGTAAAAAATGTGACGTACCGATTATGTAAGCGTTTTACTGTTTATATGGAGCCGGAGAATTAATGGCAAACTAAATACAGCAGAGGAGCTACACTTTGATCCTAGACCAAGGGCACAGATTGGCTGATTAAAAGCAAAATTTACGGGTACTATGCGCATGCTAAATAATTGAAAATAATCCTATAAAATCCATTTCTTGCTTTACGCTTTCTAGTTCGAAAACTTATGGAAACATTTCTTATAATCACCCGCCCAAACTCAATCACGCATATAAACACACATATTAAAAGAACTGCAGTCATAACCTTAACTAGTATCAATGCAAAGTGGAGCTCAGCAATGCAGATGATACGTGTAGTTCCTCTAACATCTTCTACACAAACCGGATGCTGTTCGATCGACGATCCAAAGCAGACTGCGTAAATATGTTTTCTGCGCATCGGCTCCACGCATACATACGCTTTAACCAAGATAAAATTAACAATATATTACGACCTAAGCCATTCCCGCTCAAAAACCAATACTTAATTTCAAGCCGATTCGTGGCTACATATATTCAAATTCGCACAGACCCGAAAACAGACCAGCGTTTTATGTCAACACACTCTGAGAGCGATAGAATGCGGCACAGACCAGCATTTGATGTCAATACCGATGTACTGTGAGAAAAAGTTCACCGACGATGACAGCCATCACCATTGTCCATTTCACTTCTAATTTTACCCTTCTCCTCCTCCTGTTGCGTTCGCAACATCAGATAGAATTTCCTAGTTTTGTATACATGTTAACAAATTATACGTTTATTTACCCATACTCAATGTCTTTTTGGTTTAACGCTTGGATTTACATTTGCCAAGGCGGAGAGAGAATTAACGTACGCAACGGTAACAACAAGAGTGTTCTGTCATCCAGGTTATCCATGTCTGCCTCCGTAACACACTAAATAGTCAAATAGTTTTATTTCTGCTTTTGTATTGAACTTTCAATATTAAGATCATTAATTTTATCGAGTTCCGATAAAAGTAGGTCAATATAAAATCAAAAGTCAACGTAACACTAAACCGGACAGACATTTTGAAGTGTATGTTCTATTTCGCAGCCACTTTAATTATTCGTTTTTATTTTGTGAACCAAGCCTATTACTACCTAACGGAAATGTAAAATAAAATAAAATACTGTAGAAAATGTATAATTATCCCATAGAATGAATAAAGTGTTTAGAGCTGTGGTAGACTGTAAAGCTAATTTCGATGTCATATATGGGCTGGAGCACCTTCTGCTTACCTCGGAGTTCATGGCAAGATCCAGAGACGGATATGTAATCTAACTGGTCCTGATCTAGCGTCTCATCTGCTGTCACTCTCTCACAGACGCGCCGTCGCCTCTCTCTGTCTTTTCTACAAATACTTCCATGGTTATTGCTCCGATGAGCTGCTTTCACTGGTTCCTAGACTCCATAAATTCAAGCGCCCTACGAGGCTGGCATCCCGCTCCCAACCTTTCACTGTAGAAACTTTTAAATGTAGCCGTCTCTTCTACTCCAATAGCTTCATACCTCGCACCTCTCGCCGGTGGAACACCCTTCTCAATTACTGTTTCCCTGAAAGCTATAATCTCCAACTATTCAAATGTAATGTCAATCGACATCTCCAGTTACCTTGATCTACCCACTATCCTTCTCCTCATCCTTTCTTCTATCACTCCTATCTGCTCTCGCTCCAAATCTTACGCAACCCCCTGCATCCTAGTGGCTTCACGCCTTGTTTGGGGCGTAATGCTAAAAAAAAAAAAAATTCACTGCGTCAATCGGCAATGAAGGCAAGAAACTGGATAAATATGAAAACAAAAAAAAAAAAGACGCCATACTGTTACATCTGTTAAACATTCCAAAATGGTTGCATAGACCAAGTGAGAAAACATAAAGGAAAGACCTAAAGCGAATGCCTTTCCTAATGAAGGCTGTATAAAACGGCCAGTTATCATCAGATTATGAAAGGCGATAAGATTTTAACGGTGCAATACTTGTAGAAAGGCTTCTAATTTGAAACACGTCCTATTTGGTTATGAATATCACAGACACAAAAAGCTTTTGTATTGT